ATCCTCTTCTTTCCCACTCCTGGCTTTTGTCCACCCATCATCCCCCACCCTCGTGGTTGATAGCATTGTTACGAATCTTTATGTAAGCATAACAAAGCTTCTCGTTAACTGTGCTTTTCGTCTTGGTACCTTTCCATATCCGCAGTGAAAGCCAATGATTTGACTGATGCACCGCTTCCCAATGCTTCGCAGTGAGTTTGGGGGAGGAGTCTGCCTTGAACTCCACATGACCGAGTAGTACTTATGCTTATTTCGACATCTAGTTCGTACTTTCGTGTCTTCTAGTCGGTTCTTCGTTCTAGAGCTTGAGATCGTAGGAGCACACAAGTGTTTTGTGGGGTAGAAATGTGAACAGCTTTTATGCTAGCTACACCAAGAACCAGCCGAGTCATAACTGGCTCGACGGCGGTTACCGCGGCGGTTGACTCGCTGCCGCATCTCTGTTACCGTCGGCTGAATTCATCGTCGGAGTTCGGATACCTTTAGAGGGTTTGGGAGTCGCAGTAGTGTCCTACAACCCCTGTACCTCCAGTGTTCAATTTCAGGCAGTCCACAAGTCGCAGCGGAGAAGATGCCAAAAAATCTCCCTCGTCGCTCGTCAGAAAAAGCGTCGGTTATAATTTCATTAACCACGACTCAAATAGTGTGTCTTGACCCCATGCCTCTTTTTTATTCCTTGAAATTTTTCTGTAGGTTCCCATACGAAGTTACTAAAAGTCTTACGTTCATATGCAGCTCAGTTGCAAGAGTTGGAAGATGTCGTTTCAGCCCGTCTTCCTCTACTGCTAGCTTTTCGGGTATAATCGTAAAGCGAGATGGAATTTTGTCGGGTTAGCGGTTGGAGGTCTTGAATAGTTTGGCCTCTCTGTCACATTATCTCTAATTCTTTCAAGGAATCGCCCGTTAACCGGACGATTAGGCTTCTGGCACGGACTTCAAAAATTAGTTTCAGAAGACCACAGTCTGATGCTGTGGTCTTCTGAAACTTATTTTTGAAGTCCATGCAGTTGACGGGAACAGTGTGATTGTGAGGTTTTCCTATAACCCCATTTCGTGCGACGTCTCTGTGAGATGGTCATCCACATTGTTTATGCGACCTGTGCGCATTTGTATGTATTTGTATTTTGGATGAATGGTGAGTGCATGGCTCAACCCCAAAGGATGCTTAACACATTCTGATTCTTTTCCTCCATTTGTTTTCACCATCTAAGTGCGGCGTTAGCTACTGCCTAGCATAGTTCGTCGTCTGACATGTTGATGGCTTCTCGAGAACGCCCTTACGGACGGGCACGTGAACTATGTGTCAGTGTGTCTATGGCTTCTTGTTAGAGGCGGTTGTTTGCAATTCTAGAAAAGGCGCTGTCCAAATGATTCGGAAATGGGCTTACGCCGGGTTATTATCGTTCTGCTTAGCTCATTTTGTCTCGATGGGAAATTGCATCTGCATGAAACTGTCAGTGGTAACGAGGCGGCGGCCGACATGATAGTGGCCACCCAGTCGTGATGAACGCCACCTGTAGCAGCGGTGACCACCGGCCACATGGTCGACCCCAATATGCACTGTCCAAATCTATTACGACTTGCTGTTATATTTTTTTACTAATGGTACTCTGTCCGGTTGTATCCCTTTATATTTCTCTTATCTTCCACCCGACAATTAATTTTTACTCAGAAAAGTTTCACGAATTTGTGAAAATTTTATTGAAATCTCATGACCCGCATCCCCTTTGAGACTAAAAGTGAGTTTTGAAAACATCATCGCTCTTGGAGGGCATTTTGATGGCCCTATTTCGTTTGTTTCAGCTACCAACATAATCTGATCGTTTCGGAAAGTTATTAGTGCGGTTCATTATTCTGTAATTTATTTGAGAAATAGCCGGAGCTGGAACTTCCATAGAGTAGGGTTCGCCAATCTAAGATGGTTTGACATCCGAAAGTCGCAGCGAATGCCTTACTGATACATGTAGTGGCCGATCGGTTGTTCAAGGAATTCAGTAAAGGAGGCTGTTGATGGGTGGGTTACGAAAACTATGTTTTTCAAGTTATTTTGAGATGTTCCATGATTTAGGGATCACTAGTTAAGCTCCGGAAAACGTGGGTGTTGCAGTAGATCTCAGTAGAGATAAACCAGACATCTGCTGCTCCCAGAGTGGTTACCCAGCGCCTAATTCGAGAGCCAACGTAAATCTGGCGAAACCTTTCTGCCCACCATTCCTTTTCGCCTGACAGATCAGCAACCCAGAGGTTATCCTAAAGAAGCTCCGGATATGACTATTTCTAAAAGGGAATGAGGCCACAGCTGGGATCATTTCAAGCTTAGCATCGCTCAATTTTGAATTTGTTACAAATGTAGGTATTATTTGAATCTGTCTCCTAAGCGCATGGCTACACTGTTGTCGGCACGCGATAACCTTCGGCTGTTAGTCTACTCGTCGCTGCCCCGTCGTCCACGTCATCGGCAGTGGCGTTGTCGTCGTCTCACTCGCGGTGGCAGCTTCTCGTGCTCACTTGAAGCTGAGGCAACCATATTCTATCGTCGGAATCAATTGTTCCGGACGGGAGAGAAGGGGTGGAGAGTGGGAGGGGCAGCTCCTCGCCTCCACGCTCTCCGGCTCGCTTCGTACCTCGGCCGTCGGCCCGTCTTTTCGCTCTCCATCGGTCGTACGCTCTCTCCCATACACCACTGGAGGGTCACGCACGGCGATAATGTATCCCGGCTTCTCGCCAGTGCCCATCACAATCTTTGCCTTTTCGATTTCGGAAATTAATTTGCATATTGATTGGCTTAGGGACGCCTCTGAGCGAATTCCTCCCTATTCTTACCTCACTGGAATTCTGTTCCATTTTCTCACAAAAATTTCTTGGATTCTCCATCATACTGTAGCGGTTCAGAGTCCCTTCTACGTTTACCTTTATAGTGTCGTCTCCCTTGAATGCACTCACAAAAACTGCAAAACTTCTTCACAATTTTTGCTAGTATTTGGGGGGTTTTAATCTCATGCGATTAGCATCTCTTTGTTCTAGTGAGCAGCACTTTTTCTACGCTAGAACAGCTCTAAAGATGAATGAGGTCTCTTGGGCGGGTATGGGCTTAGCAGCTCTTAATCGCCGATCAAAAATTTGCTTGAGTTCAGAAGGTTTCAAGAGATTCCATCGTCGAGGCAATGACCAGGCGGTCGAATGACGCGTGCAGGACAGTTTCAGGCAGCAGTTGCGCATACATTTCGCAGACTGGCATTGAGGATTCGCTTACTGAGTAGTCACTCCACTGGAACTTTTGCAGTTGCTTTGGAGAGATTTAGTTAGTATTAAAAGAAGGTGTTTTCTGGTTTCCGCTCGATAATTTACCGGAGCAGATGACATCATAAATCTAGTTGATTTCTGGTGCATGTGCAGCGCGACTATGGGTCTGCTACTCAGGACATCAAACGCCTCCAAGGATCTCTATGCTAACTCATGAAAAATGAATCTGTCGTTGGGACGTGATTTGCAAAGTGTTGTTGAATGTTGTTTATTCGCTGATCAACAGACACTTTGTAAAGGCAAGCTCTTCTGGAGCTCTAGAATCTCTATTGGATCAATCTCTCAGTTGGAGGGAAAGGTGTGGGATAAGTAAGAAGGGGTGACGTCATCTTCCTACTAGGAAGAGCAGGAGTAGAATTGAATTGTTCCCCTTTACTCCGTGAGAAAAAGGAGGATGTTTCGAATGCAGTACTGCGACGATTAATGCTTATGTTTCGCGTATGATGTCACCCATGACGTCTGTCTACCTCAACCACACAGCCCGCCCGGACGATGCGTTCACGTGCACCTATAGTACAATCAGGCGACATGCACTATTTGCGCGTGGTTGAACGGCGGCACATGTTGAAGCTGTCTGCCTCCTTACTGCCTATCACCCGTCTTCTGAGGCTCACTGATACGTATTTACATGCGTATTTAGTTCCAAGCCGCTGTTGTTTTTGTTTTGCTTTATGGCGATGTGTGAAATCCTCCGTGAGAGGACTGTGCTCTGCATCCGGGAAGAACCCCCTGATTTCACATATAAAGCTAATGAATCCATTTTTTCAAGTTCCTCGATCTTTCCTATTTATTCATGCTCACTATTTATCCATTTTCAAAAGGGGTGCTGTGTTTTCTGGCACTCTTATTCAGAGCCAAATCAGAAGTATGATGATTCCAGCTGATTTGTCTTTTCGACTTCCCTCTGGTTCCTTTTCGAATCGTAGAAGCATATGGTCGTGTAGACAAAGTCTTTTTGGGCAAGTACATGTTTGAATGAGTATTTTTTGTAATTTCAAAAAGGTGTGGTTTTGAAAAAAAGACATGATGACGACCTTTGTTCCGTGGCCTCTGTTCCCTGCGTACCCGTGCCTGTTACTGAGACGCTGAACGTCCCATCTGATATTCCCAAAGGATCAATGATGTCGTTCTTGACAGAAGTAGTCTAGGAATCGAACATGCTTGATAGTGGGAAAAATTCCAAATAATTTATCCCCAAACAGAAAGTTGACCTCAGGACTGGACTGATAAACATCTGCTGATGGTTACTCAACTAGACTACCTACCCACAGTATTCATGCGTATTCTTTGTACAAGGTATTTAGGAACTCTATCATATTCATTGCTCTTTCTTGATGCTGTTCCATCATAAGCATACGAATGAAAAGCTCCCATTCATGTGTGGTACCACCTTTCTAGCCATCCAAGCTGTTTGCGTTTGAAATTCGTCTTTTTCTTATCGCTTACTTCACTTACTTTCTTACTTTCTTTTGTTTTTTATTGTTTCACGCTTTGAATTTTTGATTTTGACCCTTCCACTTTTGCTTGGGGAAGCCATCTTAAGGCAAAAGATACATGTTATGTTCCTTAAAATGACTGGCTTCCTCTCTTCGACATTCCTGATTGTCCACGACCCTTCTCAAAGGAAACCCAAGCTCATTGATCTGCTCTGACGGTTCACTGTTACAAAACCCACTTTCTTACTTTTCAGTGGTCAAATGTGGCCATCGGCTGGTCCGATGCTACAAAGCCCAACGTTCCCACCTGGACCAGCACCCACTGCTTTGATGCAGCATATGCCTGGATACGGTGCGTTTGCCTCTATCTCGTGTACTAACGGTTATAGACTGTATACATGTGCTTGTTTTCTTATAGATTAAGATATTTCGTTTAGGTATGCAACCGTCGCCGTACCCAATGGATCCAGCTGGTGCTCGTCCGCAGTATCCACCTATGCAGGATCAGAACGCCGGCGGTTACGACCAGGTGATTTTCGATGTCATCGAAGAGTTAAAAATTTCGCATGAGAAGCGTGGTTAGCACCCTGAGAATAGGCTACGTGCGGTAATGACCCAAAGCGCGAATTCAAGGGAGGTATGCAGCCTTTCCCTCGGTTTTAATACTGTTTTTCCTTTCTTTTCTCTTCCTCCCAAATGCTGAGGTGCTGGTGCTCTTGTTTCTGATGCTTATCAATCGATCGAACCTACTATTAATCAAGCCCTGATATAAGCCTTTTTGCGGGTGGGCAGATAGACTCATCCCTTACCCTTCCTGCCTCTGTTGGAGTACGTACCCTCCCGTTTGACTGACCATTAGATTCCAGTATTTTGCTAGTGGTGGGGACAGTTCGTGCACTATCTATCGGATCGAACTCTTGGTCAAACTGGGAGAATCTCATCCTGCTGGTTTTTCGAATTGTCCACCTTTACCAGTAAAGACGTTAATGTATGGGGTTATCGCTTGAAGTCTCGAGTGTGATAAATACTCCTTTATACTCCTCTGCAACCGCTCGAGTGCTCAATAAATTTAGGAGTGAAAGTCGCGCTATTTTTCAAACTTTTGGCTAACGACGATTTCTTCTTTTTTGTTTGCTGTATTATACAATATTTTTAGAATGCGATGAACTACAGTCAACAACAACGAATGATGATGTTGCATCAGCAACAACAAATGCAACAGGTGAGCTACATCCCAGTATGCTAGAAAAACCATTATTTTATTCATCTATTTTTTATTTAATCTTAAGCAAACATTTTTTTTNTTTTTTTGTTAGGGTCGGCTATTTCATCTATAGAAGCCATCCCCCTTTTTTTCTTTCTAACCATTATTGAAGGGCGATTGTCACTTGCATGTTTCTTTTATGCTTTGTGTCATCCAGCTTCCGGTATCCCATTGTCGATATAACTTCCCAGCTATCATATGGAGATATTTTGTTTCCCATTGATACACTGTAATTATTCTGGATTTAGAAAAGCTCACTCTGAATTTTGATAGGAAAATCATGAAGCGATCGAGCTGGACATAGATTTAGGGATTCCATCATTGTCACCGATTTCCCACTTGGTTTTTTACTGTGTTTCGGATGAGATCGAGATCAGAAATGTTGAATCATTTACCGATTCGGATAGTTCTTAATTCTTTGACCGCATTGGTCTGGTCCATAGTACAGTGCATTATAGTAAATTTGCTCAATACACTGAACGACATTACACTTGGGCTAATATTACTTATAAAAAATTAGATAAAGATAGATACTTATAAAAATTAGATAAAAAATTCATCCTACAAAAATTCGTTTTTGAGATTAGGTATTAGGTACAAAGGTCTGAGACCATGTCAAAACGTAAGTGGTGCAGTGGGATCGGCCTAATCGACCTGTTCAGTGGAGACATTGAATAATTGAGCATATAACAAGAGTGAGAAGGGCCTTTCCAATGCTACTGAGTCCCAGCTATTTTCTATCTTCTGTTATTCAAAATTTACCCATTCCCTAATTCCCATATGAGTTTCCTTCTAAAATCGAGGCTAATCACTCAGATTGCATTCTTAGCAGTGCTGCTTCTTACCCATCATCTGTAGGCGATGATACAGAGGTCACATATGACGTTACAGCTAACAAACCCCATTTTTTCATCATCTTTAATGAAATTTCTGTAGTGTATCTATGAAAAGGGCTGAGGTGTGGGCGAGGTCGCTGACCCTGACCGATGCAACAGCCCGATTCCTCTTCAAACTATCTATGAAATTGGGCTAGTTGAATGAATCTGCTTGACTAATTCTGTATCACCTAGACTGAGAACATTTCTTTGATGGTTTTCTGGCTCTTATATGAATTTCTTTCATATAAAAGCCACTTCGCCATTTTTTTTNTTTTTTTTGCCACTTTCGTCCATTTTCTGATAAAGAAAAATTCAACTGAATGATACGGAGGGCATAAATGACTCGGTTCGTTTTCAGAGAAACAGCCTCCTTAGCAGCTTCGAGTCTCGCCAATCTATTAACTCTGGTTTGAACGCTTGTAAGGGGATAGGGAAATGGGTCGTGGTTGGAAATCTATGGTGCTCAAAGGTTCACTTGTACTGGAACTGTAATAGGTTCAGGGGTGGACGACAAATCGGTGATGATTTCCTTACAGCTGGTTGACTGTTCGTTGGCTGATTTCCTTTTTCTCAGGTTTGCAACTAATCTTAACTATTTGAACTGCTGAGGGTATGTATGTTCGATTTTGCAACCCAAAAGCTGTAGGACAGTTTCCCAGCTAGTACTTAGTTATCGCTCGGCGGGCGCTTTCCAATGGAATATTATGTTTGATGCTCAACATTGACTGCCTCTCTCTTTTCGTTTACATTTTCAATCTTCCTTGATTAGAAGCTTCGGGAGCAAAATGTATTTCGGAATGCTACTTTATGCATTGGAGAAGCTGAAACACAAAAAGGAACACCACCACATGCTGAACAAATCTTTTTATTGAAATCGAAAGCCGAAAGAGAAGTCAACGACTACTTCTTAACCGAGTTTACCGATGAGAACTCAATTGGGTCATTAAATTCGTCTATCATCGAATCGTGGAGCAACCCGGAGATTACAAGACAAATCAGCGGATAATTAAAGTGGTTTCAGTAGCAGTAAAGCGCTTAGCATCTGATTTTGCTTTCAGTTCCGATGGTTTTTGATCACTCACTTGCTTACTGCTACACCATCTTTTCAGTTCAGCTGGAGTTTGGCATGATCGTTGAAAGCTTCAAGTTTCACAGCACTGCAGGGCCTCGGGGAACCCATCAACAAGATCGGGATTGAACCCTATAGACACTGCACAAGCCTTGCCCATGTGACTGCATTGGTTATGCCATCTAACAAGGAACACTTGCGGAAATAGAGGCTTCTCGGCCGTCGAGTAGCAACGAGAAGTTCCAGTATCTAGCCCTAGTGACTGCCTATAAATGCCTCCAAAACGGTCGATAGGATGGGTATACTTCGAATCAGCGCCTGCCACTTAATTTAGCCCATTTCACTTGCTAACTAAGCAGCACGAAGAATGTTGTCGGGTTTGAACCAAAAAGTGACACCGCTAGCGCCGCAGGCTTTGTATGCGCAAAGATCGGCATACGTGTCGTGGTGACCTGGTTTCGCGAACGGTGACGTCCCTCGACCCATAGTTGTGGATAGTCCAGCTGGAGGCCCAATTGATCGTCGAAACCGTCCGAGATCGTCTTAGCGTCAGTAAGATTCGATCGGCTTGGAAAACTTCCATTCGCAATTGACTACAGTCTGTCTGCGCCACGCTTCATCTCAATTAGGTATATCAGCCAAAATTGGGTAATGCCGATATTTCAGCCCTTGCTCCATATGTGGGGAACAACCAGACTTTGATTGCGTTGGTCAATAAGATTGAAGGGGTACCAATGCAGAAATAGTGGCTAAATAGCTCAATGTGGAAAATTTTGTTTCTTTTATTCTCCGAAATTATTTATTCATTTGGATTTTGCCAGTCTTTGTGTTGTGAGAGTGATTTTTTTT